TGCAAACTTCTGACTGAAATTATAATATCCTCTGTAAGGGTATAAAAATATAAAAGTCAAACTTATTTAAAAATTTATTTTTTGTAATGTTCTGATTGTTCCCATGGGAGCTATATGATATAGTCGTCCGATTTGAGCCAAATCTAAACAGCAATTCTTAATTAATAAACCATGACTATGTTTCGAAGAATTAAATATTTTCATTATTGCGTCTGCGTTGCAAACTTCTAACTGAAATTATAATAACTGAATAATAATAGATGAAAGTATTTCTAAACAGCTTTTTATTCTAAACAAAAGTGGTTCCGAGTGCACGGATGGCGAATATAAAACTTTAGCAGAGTGAAATTTGTTAACTTTTTTTTTTCATGACCAGTCACAATGTGGACATCCCGTCCCAAATTCAATTTAGCTGTCAATTTTGCGGTCATTCGCTTTTTCGCTTTTATGTGGTGTTTCCATGATAGTCTGCGGTCGAGGTGCATGCCAAGATACTTCACAAATATTCATAAAGATCTAAATATTCCAACTGTAAAGGAGGAGATAAAAAAATATAGTAAGAAATATACAGACAGACTTCACAATCATGTAAATAATTTAGCCCTAGGTCTAGTAGACAATAGCTTAACATTCAGAAGACTCAAAAGATTCCGCATTCTTGATCTCCCTGATAGGTAAATTTAAGTAAACGAGAAATTAAATTAATAGCAGGTTTCACTGGAAATCTGCTATTCCTGTTATGTAAATATTAGTGATACAATTTGCTTATTGTCATTAGACAGATTGTAAATAAAAATTTAATTTAAAAAAACAAAAAAATTCGCTTTTGACATTCTGATGATTATTCTTGGTCGTCTGCAAGTATGTGAGTGTGTTCAATTAAGTTAAAACAGCCGATAAATAAATCAGATTTGCTTCGTTAATGCTTAACACATAAATCTCCACTCTGTAGCGGCAATTAAATTTATCTTTAATTGGCACGTGCAGCCAGCTGGCCAATGAAAAAAGAATAGTGACTCGGCTGGCAAGTCCAGCAAAATGGCAACTAGCTTCTTAAACTTTTCAAGCCTTATCGGCATATAAACTCGGTTCCTGCTGGGGCCAGGGCTTGTTTTGGAACTGGGGCTTGAAATGGAAGTGGCGTCCAAGTCGCACCAGGCAGCGAGGTGCTCGGCACACCTGCCGCTTAACTCCTGAAAGGAACTTATGTTAACAACCCCATACACACATGGGTATACCTGACGGGGCTGCAAAAAAGGAGCAGAATGTAATTCGGATTTAATTGCCTCTTAACACGCACTCGCGCGGGCACGACCGGTAACAGCTCGTAAAAACGCGCAAAGGGGCGAAAAAAGACAAACTCCTAGCACGGACAATGGGAAGCCGTACCAAAGATACCCTCTTCTTTCGGGGCGAAGAGAACCAAAGAACAAGTTTTTTAACGTTGACCGACTTAGGGTATCCCAGAAAATAATTTTCGGAGAAATCCGGTCGAACGCATGTGTTTAAGCGAATGTTGCCTAGGAAAGGTCATGAAAAGGAAAGCGTTTGGATATTGTAAGTAAGTTAAAACAAGGGGAAACTATTAAGCACAAAGTGAGCAGCATATAACTCAAGCACAAATCGTATGTATTATCAGGTTTGGTTTGATTTCGCCTTGGGAACATAGAGCTCACTCAGCTTGGCTTCATCGGTTATTACTAAAAATGTTTTGTTTTCATTTTGTTAACTTTTGCCGATAAGCTGCCAGCGCAAATGCGCAACACCTTTATAAGCGAATTGGTATCTCCGCTGCCAGCCCTCAACCCCCGATACGAATACATTTTAAATGCTTTGAATAACTTTTAAATTTGCTTAAACTGCCAAGCCCGCAACGCAATAAAAATAACACGAACAACATCAAGATCCCGCCGGATACACGTCCGACCTCACATATGCTAGTACAACCCAAAGGCTGAAATCGTAGTAAAAGAAGTGCTGAACTGTGCATAAAGCGCTGATAGACACGGAGATATGCGGCCACTGACATTCATTACGACATAAATTCGTTTAGTTGCTTGGACCCGGGTCTTGCACCAAGGACGAGATAAGACGCAAATGCCAATGCCGACAGTGACTATTTCTTGGTCTCCATTTACAAGCTTCGCTGCTACACGCACGGCGCAAAGGGCCGTAAAGTAAGTGCGTCCTTGCCACAGGGATCCAAGAGATGAGAGTTGAGCCCTCACTATATAGTCGTAAGTCTGCAAGTTGCAACTTTGTACATATGTTTTCATGCAAATAAATTAACCATGTACCCCGCCCGGCTGCAGTCTCCTCTGCCAGACAGCCACCTTGGGATGTGGCTGTGGCCCGGCAACCTGTGCAAGTATGTGTGTAATTTAATAAGTTAATAAATGAGTGAGGCCACGGTACGTTGCTGCCAGAGGAGGATGACGCTGAAGATGCTCTTCAAAGGCGAGATACTTGGCTGCACTGACTGAGTCGTGGAGACTGGCCTCCGAAGAGCAATACAACCCGTTAACGTGTTAACCTCAGTTCCATCTGTCGGTGTATGTGCAAGTTTGACCTGCTACACAAATTACCATCAGGGCAAGTCAGCAGCTGCCCGGCTGAACGATTCAGCCACTCGTGGCCACAAAGACGGGGTCAATGCCTAAATCGGCCTTGCAAGAAGAGAGGTGGAAAGGAAGGGGGGGTTTCTGGGTGGCCTTGCCACGTACGTCCTTAACGATTAAAACATTACGCAGCTTTGCCTAATTGCCCATTTAAATGTCAGTTACGGCATGCACCCAAAGTTACATACACCTATACAACCACACCCATCCACACTCACCCACACACTGCCCTAAAAACGTGCACACATGCTGACTTAAGTCGCGCAACGCTTCGTTGTCAACACCGTTGCAAGTACAATAACTTTAGGGTTTTGTAAACAAATAAAACAATTAAATTGGTTCCACTCTTCAGCCAAATCCTATTAACTGCAACCTAAAAGGAACTCCCTCGCACGCGTTTAAGTGTTAGTTTATACATAGCTCTTACCTGAGTGTGCGTCGCTGCCACTTTCATGCATACTTAATTTGTCAGCTTGGCACAGGTTTACACCCATTTTATAATACGTTAACTAACTAACTGTTGCGTCTCCCTCACCCCCTCCCCCACGGGAAGAACACGTCCTTGGGGGAGGCAGTTAGCTTCATGTCTGCCGTTGACGCCCGATGAGGACGTGGACGTCGGAAGGTGGATGGGTCCATGCAACGGTGGCCTGCAGAATTTATAGTCACTCACATATGGGGCCGCAAGGTGTTTTCATTTAAATTTTATAACGACTTAAGACAGGTCGAAGCACCACCACTTTAGCAGTTGAGTTTGCATTGTAATTTAAACTGTGCATGTGCTCAAGGCTGTAACGCACATGTGGGAAGGGGCGCAACGCAACTCTAGTGTCAAAATGGAAGGCTCGCGAAAGCTGCTTCCTAGCTAACAGTTTGTAAGTGTGGTAATTACAAAATTTTATGTGATTACTGCTTGTACACACACACATAGCCACGTGTGAGGACCGTATTACGAAAAGAACGAAAGCGTTAGCAAACCGCGCCAATGGGGAGGGAAAAGTACAAAAGCGCCTATTAGAATATTAATAGAATACTAAATAAAACGTCAGGTATGCCATCGCCTCCCTTCATACCCACTGCATTGTCCAAACTCCAGATACCTGCTAGTCGGATAGGATGAATCTGCCGCAGAGCGGACAAAATGGGGAGTTCGGTGACTAAACTTGAACCCATCCCATCACAATGCACCGCAGGCCAATTTAAAGGGTTCAGCTGGCATATTCAATCTGTTGGCTGCTGAGCAGGCCATAAATGATGCATGAGCAATTGACGATGGCAAGTCCATTGAAGACAAAGGCCAACGATGCGTCTGCACTTGGATTGCGGCTAGAGAAGCTTTTAAATTCAATTGGCAAGCGCGCGAGGTAACTTTCACTGCTCACAAAGCTTCCTGGCAGCGCTTGGCAAGCTCGTTTTCAGCTCAAAGTAGTCCTTGGATGAAAGAATAACTCAATTTAGCCGCCCGAGGAGTCATCGTGTACCGTCGTACGTTTGGTCGGAAACTCCCACAACGACGACTATCACGACCGTAAGGACGAAGACAAAACCACGACCTCATCACTTGTCCCGGCTGGCCATGCAGGGCCTATGTCTGAGTCCGCGTTTGCGATGCCGTTGAAGTCCCGTCATCGTCACTCTGCCATCGTCGGCGTCGCTTAGACGCACCCACAAAACACTTCAAACGTTCTACGGTTCAATTTAAGTGGTGCTAGAAGGCGTTAACCAACGAGCACTCGGCTTGAGTCCTCGTTTGAGCGCTTTGCTGTAAAAAGTGCGCACAATCCTAGCCGTCGAATTAAAAATCCTTATGTCCAACCAATTGCAGGGACAGAAGTTGTTGTTTTTCCGCTTTTAGAACTCCATATCCTGGCATTTGTTTTCAGAATTTTCTTTTTAAATCATTTTAATTGTTTAATTGTTGTTTAAGAACTCCATATCCTGGCATTTGTTTTCAGAATTTCCTTTTTAATAACATTAATTGTTTAATTGTTGTTTACGCATGTATTTATCTATCTGTACTTTCAGTATTACAATATATGATATATAAAGATTTCGTACCTCCACTCCACACTTTATACATAAACATTATATTTCCTATCCGTGCTAAAAAAAAATTAACAACATATTAAAATTATTGCCTTTTTCAAAGCATTTGCAATTTGCTAACATAGATACACATACAAATACATTTGATTATTTATATATATTTATTTATTCAAGTTTGAGAACGCTGATACATTAATATTAATATATACATATCAGTACTCTCGCACTTGAAAAATCCAACGGCAATTTTATATTCAACTGTATTAATTTATGTATTTATATCCATATCCATGTTCGAACTTATTTAGTCATATTTATTTTATGTTCATAATTATACTGGTATTGGTACTTGTTTTCATATGTGTACCTGTAATATTACATATGTATACGTTTAGGTATAAATAGCTCTTGTGATTCATTGGATGATATTTCATTGTCTTCGTATTGTGCCTAATGCCAGCATGATGCATCTGATCATAATTATCATACAAACATTTTATAAATAATAATAGTCGTTGCAAGATTATCTACATGAATACAGTTAGGTTTTCGGCCGACTCAATTTGTATTTCAGTATGATGCAGTACAGAGTTATACGAAGAAGACAGTCTTATGTACAATATCTTAGGACTGCTTTTGTGTAAATGGTTCTGCGTTTTTGTTAATCAATCATAATCCTCGATGGTTAAAGTTTTTGATTTGATAAAAAAGGAGAATTATTAAAAATAATAACTGTGCGAATATACATAACACAGATATATGATATAGTCAACTCAAGAGGTGGATTCGAATTAATGTGCAACCATCATAAAATACATAAAAAAACATATTTCAATAAAATTTTTACACGATCGTTTCCTCTTGCATCTATAGGATATATTCGCCTGATGACAAAGGCTTTTTAACAAAATCGGTGTAGACATAATAAAACAATTTGATATATTTCGTGTTAAAAACCTTTAACATTACGCTAGTCGAATGCATAGAACCATACGGCCAGTATGACACATATATGACAGCTTTAAGAATTAGTCATTCGATTTTCGTCCAAAAGGTATAGGTCCGGAAATGGAATAAAAAACAAAACGTTAGACAAAAAGCTGAGTTTTTAAACTAGATCTTCGTAAAATGTAATTGCAAAAGTTTTAAGCCGTTAGCTTTTAAGCAGAGCTAGCAATAGGTATGAAAGCAGAAAGTCAGCCTAGTCTGATTAAGAATATGAATTATGAAAAAAGTAAAATATGGAAAATGAAAAGTGACTACTGCGCTGCAAACTTTTGACGAAAATAATAATAACCTCCGCAAGGGTATACAACTGTACATATCGGAAATATTTTAACTGATTTATGTGACGACTTGTGTTTGGCAAAAATTTTTAGCGATTTCTAAAATGAAAAACAATTTTTATTCATAACCGATCCTTTAAAACCGATCCGAATTGGGTAGGCACACATTCACAGGGGAAAATACATTTAACCTGGGAGTCTATACCATTTTATTTTAAAGGACTTTACGTCGCAATAACGACAATGTTGATATATTTATTACGAGACTGGACTTTGGTGGTATCCTATGCTTGATTATAAATTTATTATTTTCTGTACTTCGTTAGTATTTACTTTGTTGATATAGTATGTATCTATATAGGACATGCCTATGCCTCTGAATTGCCAGCTGTACTAGTATACACAACATCCAAATGTCTAAGAAGCTCTTGATTTTGTTCTTTAAGTTTCGGTATAAACGATTATGGATGCAGATAATACGCGTATGCATGATTAATCATATTTGTTTAAGTTTTTTCTACTAGGTATACCACTCTATGTTATAGTTACATATGAATAATTTAACATGAATGTGATGATTTCTGTGCATACAGCTAAAGTTATGGTAATGAGCAGTGAGCGATCTGTCCTTTTCATTGCCTTGAACCGCATACTCGTATAATGGGTTGTCCGGTAGCCTAGCTCCTTACTCTGTATCCAAACCGCCTTCATTTCGGGCATCGCTATTGAACGTGGACGTGGACTGCCAGCGCGTGCTGTCTTGTAATCACCTGCAGACGGTAGAGTCATCGCCCGCACATATCGAATGCGACGCTGCCAAAAAAAGCTTGCCGTTCGAGCACGCGCAGAGTTGGAAGACTCGGTGCATATGGTCTCGACTCTGGGCGGTACCCAGGATGGGAGGCTGGGCCGTTCGCAGGTTGGGCATAAGTATCTTCGAGGATTCCAAACGCAGCTGCATCGATAAAAGCACATAATTGGGCAAGTGATTTTGAAGTGAGCCCTTGCTGTGCCTACTACTACACCAATTTGTCTTTCAAATAATCATACTTACGCTCCCATCGAGGGCTCGGAACTTGACGTCTTCCAGGGCCACAACTTCTATTCCTCCTGCCCGGGATTGCAAGTTGATGTCCTTGGCCGCCGTCATCTCCAATTGGCGGGTGGGAGATTCGAGTCTGTAATTAAATCAGGACACAAGCTTTGCGACGCCGCCTTACTAAGTTAATGGGAACAGCGTTTGCCCAGTCCCAGAGGAGTCCGCCGGAGGTAGATGACCAGAGTCTCAGAGATTGAACATGGTTACGAAGCCGTTTTCCCCGAACGTCAGCCTAATGAAACGGAAAGTCACTCAATTGCGTGGGTGCCGCCAATGGACCGCTGAATGGTGCCCAAAGAACAATTCAAATTTAAATTAAATTGCTGATATGACTACGCGTTGACATCGCCGACCAGCTCGTCAACTGAAATATCCGAGTGTGTATCTGGTGCCAGACAATTTGTAATTTTCATGAGCCAACAGGCAGTTATCACCAAATTTGTCAATGAAAATGTTATTACAAGCCGCCGATCCTGTTAATGGTTCATGCGTACACACGCGCTCACACGTACAGATGGGCGATGGATGGGCCTTTGCGCATAATGCAATGACTGCCTCCCAATCCCAGTCAAAGCCCCAATCTCAGTCCGATTCCCGTCCGGCGTTAGTCAAACGGGAAAAAGGTCTGGCCCCTTTAGCGCTTTTTAATTCACTGCCATCGCTTGTGTACATTCTGACAAATGTGTATAAATATTTTCACTTCCCAAGCCCGCGCTCAGTGAGCTGAATACCGACACCTTATGAAAAGGTTGGTGGGTGTTGATGGCGATGCAGGTAAGGGTGCAGTGCACCACCAGGCCACCACCTGTCCCACACTTGACTGTTGTTTGTGGGCGATATGGGAGACTGTCGGTAATCTGACTGTTGTTTTGGATACCGCAAAGGTTACGTTGACAGAGGCGCACGAACGCAACTGAGTGTTTGCTTTTAATTTTTTATTTCTCAGATTTCCCCAACCGAAGAACGACTAATATGCGACCACAGTATACCATTCCCGTCCCTGCTCTGCTACGAATTCCTGGAAATTTATTACATTCATTGAATTTCAACACCGGACTACGAGTGGCTGCAGTAGATTGGCTTTCGATTTCATTTACTTTAATTGGTCATGGACTGGTATGTTTTCCGTTCCTTGCCTCTTCAACGGTAGATCGTTTGGGCCAAATCGCAGTCCTCGGTTTTCAGGGTCTGGACCTCTGGCTATGGACGTGGCTCTGCACTTACCTCAACTCCCGACCTGGCTCGGCGCGCACATGCGGCGTCTGCACAGACTCCCGAAATACGGCACCACCTTCGCCGTCGATCCGCAGGGCGTGCGCTCCGATTGTGACTTCATTTCGGTTTACGGAAAAAAGGCTGCGACCGTTGGTGTCGTTTATGCGAAATCCCGCAGACAGGCACTCGAACTTATCGTGTCCCAGAAATAAATGATTCTCAATCATACCATTCGGGTCACGTGTATTGATTGAAAAATTACGTGATGATTCTGTTGATGATGGTGACGATGGGCCGTGGAGTCGCACGAAAGTCGGAGAAATGGAAACGGAAGAAGATATGCGACATAAATGAGATAGATATTTATGGAGGATTGTTTTATAAAGGTAAGGGTAAGGGAAAATGAATCAAAATGTTTGTATAACAAATGCGGATAATTTCAGCAGTAATTGCAATATAAATTAGTAAACACACACCGCCAAACAGCCGCCACACATGATTATGCAGATAAAAGAGGGTTCCTCTTAAAGATAGCACATAACAAGAAGGCGGAAACGGAAATCAAACCTTTGGCTCCTCTCTCCCCTATTGTCTCAGGCCAGTGCGCCGCGCCGCGGTCGAAACCATCACTCTTGGCCATCAACTATCAACCGTCGCTGTCACCTGTTTGGGCTGTCCTCCGCCATGACCCTCCAGCGACTCACCCTCTCGGTCAGGATCCGTCGCCCATCGCACCAACTTCTCTGTCACACTCACTGTCCCAGTTTCCGCGCGTGTTTCTGTGGCTGCTTATCGCTGCGGGAAATGCTCTGCTTCTTGCGGTGCTGTTCCTGCTTTCCTTTTTGATAGCATTTTCCTTGCGACAATGGACGAAGGTCCCTTGAAAATCGCATCAGTCTTCTTTGGCCGTGGTTTCATATGGCTTATCTGTAATTGTACATCTTGGTTGCTGTTCAATCGGCTGCCGTTTTAGATGGAGGAGCAGCCGCCCCGATCTCATTTGCCGACGCTTAGCGCCTCTGATTTCCTGCTCGCCTTCGTGGCCAAAATGTATGATATCTGTTGATTTATGTCTTGACTTGCAACGGCACACATTTGTCGTTGTCCATCGCCGTCCCTAAACACCTGCCTGTGCACCGACCATCTATGAATTTGTAAGCTCAGCCAGTCATCGGAGGCAGCGCACGGCGACGTTCATGACTTTAACATTTGCGAGGAGGTTCAACAGTGGCAATGTCGTTTGGTTAATGTCCCTCAAACCTGAAATGCTGAGCGATAGCTCCGGCGTGACCACGATTAAACCAACCGAATGTAGAATGTGGGAACGTGAATGGTAAAAATTTATCAAATATGCAATACACGCGGGCGTCGCACTGAGTAGACCCCATGGTGGGGATAGGAAGGGAAGGCGCAATGCTGAATGGGGTGGTGGCTGCGTGTATGACGGTGTTTGTTCGCACCTAATCGCCCTCGGATACGCTCGAATCGAGTAACGGGAACGCATTTCACACTCACCTATTGAGATGGGTTGACCGTGACGCGAACGGATTGTCGATGCGCGCAGCATGTCCATAATTATTGCTTGTCCCGACAGCTGTATGCCACCGGGTACGATTTTAAGCTGACCCATGCCCTCCTAAAAGCGGCAAGCGAATAGTTAGTGGGGTCAATCTGGGACGGGGGGACGGAGTCTATGACGCAATTACCGTTGAGAACTCCATCACTTTGAGAATCCAGAGGGTAAGCACGAGGTTGGTGATAATAAGCAGCATTAGCAGCAACAGCAGAGTGTACAAGCACTTTTTTCGCCATCCAATGAGGCCTAAATACATCTCGATCCCCCCGACAAATCCGTCTACGTTGGAGCCCCCAGGTGCGGCGCTGCGACCCCCTCTGTCGTTTCGCCCATGACTTTGGCCGTGGCTAACCGTTGCCTTGACCGTCGTCGCTGTCACTGTCGTCATGGTACCTCCTCCCTTAGCCGTGGATAGGGCGTTTGGAGCTACACAGCCGCTTGCGGAGCCACTGCTACCGTTTCCGTTGCCGCTTGCTCCGCCGGTGCTGCTGGCTGTCATTGGGCCAGAACGGTGGCTGGTTTTAGGGGGTCGCTTGGCCGTATTACCAACCGCTAATCGGTGTCTGTTCGCAGCGGAGCTGGCTTGCAGTGGCCGCGAGGTGGCCCGAAGTCACTGATCTCACTACTGTCAGCAGCCAACATTGCTCATCTACTGCACAGCAGCTAGTAGCTGCATGAGGCGTTCATGATTGTCTGGTTTTCTTTATTCTGCAAAGAAATGAAATGTAACAAAATTCGTAGTTTCAATAATAATTTTGAGAGTCACTTTCGAGCCTCGTATTGTGTGTGCCAAATTGAGCTGATGTCACAGTATGTATTTGGGAGCCTTAGCATGGGTAACCATGCAGGGGTAACTCATTTATGGAGTCCTCGTTTGTCGGAATGAACTGCAACATTTAAATATGCTGCATTGAAATATGCAGTAGGCTGCTGCAGTTACCCTTCATTGATAGCATCACGCATCTAGCTTCGCCTCAGCTCCACCTGCAGCTTCACTTCTGGTTGCAACTGTTTCTACAAATGCACCAGTTGATGACTTATTGGCGTCAGCTGGTGACGACTTCACGTGGAGTCATTCAATTATGCACGCCTGCAGCTACATTTACGAAATGCTGACGAATATGTGTGTGCTGCGTGGGCGAATTTACATGCAACAGCTATGAAACTGACGACAGGGTGGGTTCGGGTATTTATTAAAGCATACTTTCAAAAGAAATCATAATAAATAAAATAAAAAGTTGTATATGAATATATTATAGCCTTTGCTCATGATGTATAAATAAATAAATAGGTAGTTCTAGTGTTGCAAAAA